AAGCGATATTAACACTTCACGGGATCTTAATTCTCTCCCTCTGTTGATGCAGCCTAGAACTGTGTTGGCTTTTTTGGCAGCTGCTGCCCACGGCTGGCTCCTTTTTCAATGGTTGTCCACTAGGACTCCAAGATCCCCTTCACAGTTACTACAATTGAGGAAGGTACCACCTATCCTGTACCTGTGCATTTCGTTTTTCTTGCCTAAATGTAGAACCTGACTCTTTTCCCCATTGAATTTCATTTTATTAGATAGTGCCCAATGTTCAAGTTTGTCAAGATCCTTCTGTATCTTCAGCCTTAAGTCTTCTGGAGTGTTGGCTATTCCTGCCATCTTGGTTTCATCTGCAAATTTGATGAGTTCCCCATTTATTCCCTCATCCAAATCATTGATGAAGATGTTGAGGAGTCCTGGGCCTAAAACAGAGCCTTGGGGTCCCCCACTGCATCCTTCCCTCCATGAAGATGCAGTTCCATTGAGGACGACACGTTGAATGCGGTTGGTCAGCCAGTTGTGAATCTACCTGGTGGTGATGCTGTCCAACTCACATTCTTCCCCTTTATCTAGTAGTAGGTTCTGGTTGACTTTGTCAGGTTGCTGTTGTATTTTGCATTGCAGTGTTTTTCAACCGTGCTAACTTTTAAGACGTGCCGACCTTTCCTCTGAATTCCACGCTTCTTAAAAGTTCCCAAGGTTGAGATACAGAAACTGTTAGGAACTATTCTTGGGCACCTGAAACAGGGACTAGCATCTGGATGTTCTTTCTCCCCACGGCAGGTCGCTATTGGGTGGACATTTATGACACCCTCATCTCAGGCACCTTTTGGAAATGGAGAGAGGGAACGACTAAGCGCGAGATTTATTACCCAGGTGAGTTTGAGATTCCTCGCCTGGAGGCCTGCGTGGCAACGGGAAATCCCAAGATAGGGGGGGGGATCTAATTGCTGCCTGTACGCCTCCCGCAGGAGACACCACTATCCACCTTTCCGGAGAGGGCACCTCCGTGCAGTGGAGCGCCGGCACGTGGATGGTCGAATATGGCCGAGGCTTCATCCCCTCCACCCTGGCCTTCGCCCTGGCTGACACGATCTTCAGCACTCAGGACTTCCTCACCCTCTTCTACACCCTCCAGGTTTATGCCAAGGCCCTGCTCTTGGAGGCTAACACATACTTCAGCAGCACCAGTCAGTGAGTCTCGGCCCACTCCCCACTCCCAGCCGACGTGAAGCTCGCCCCCTTCCCCACCCTCCCATCTCGTGTGCTGGCGAACCTGGTGCAGCTCCCGGGCCTGCCCTTCTTGGCCACACGCGGTTGGGTGCATCGCCTGCGTGTCAGGAAGCAGAGGTGGGTCCACGCCCTTCTCAGTTGCTCCATCCACGAACACCTGGATGTCCTGCTCTAAATAGGTATCCAAGCTGCCCCCTGGGTGACAATTCGGTCTCTCTTGGAGCATTTTGGAGCCACGCAGAGAAAGAGGGGGGGAAAAAAGTCCCAGGTGTTTTATGGCAGGAGTGGTGCCCATGTGCAGCGGCATCGGTGCACAGTTGACCCAAATAATGCCATTTGCATGATGGCATTTGCCAGGCCCCTTTGGAAAGAGACGTTGCATCCTCTTTGCATGCTTTGAGTCGAGGTGCCTCCTGTAGTAGCATTGTCACCAACGCCCCTTGGTCCTTCTCAGCTTGGTTCCAAGTGGGCCTTTTGATCTGATTTACAGCAGGACAAATTTTGATAGGCAGCTGAGAAACAACAGCCGAAGTGTTTGGATGGAGCCCTTCAGAGTGTACATTTCCACTGCTGTTTAAGGCAGACCAGCACTTCCTGGCACTTCCTCTTCCTTCCTTCCTTCCTTCCTTCCTCCCCATTTCAATTTCTCAGGTGGAAAACGGGTAATTTGGCTGAGCAATATCTGCCTTCGCTGGTTGGGAAGCACCCCTGCAGACCTTGGGGGTTTTCTGGCTGGGCTTCTGGAAAGTTCTTTCCGGCAGACTCGCGTTGTTCTCTGCCTGGGATCTCTGCGGGTGGATCTTCCACAGCTCTCTAGAAGATCCACAGTAGTTTGGAATTCCGGTTGCGTCTTCCTTGGGTCTCTCGTGATCCTTTTTCTCTCACGACAAATCAGCCAACTGCATGGACAGTTGGTTCATCCTTCCTTCCCTGCTTGCAGCTCCCCTATTCCAGCTAATTTCCTCTAATCCTTTCAGAGGAGACTGGGAGAGGGGGGAGGTATTTCCCCGTTCCTGTCCTACTCTCCTACTCCCACCCTAGAGAGAGAACAACTCACCATGGGTTGGTGACTCTTGTCCACGCGTACCTCATCCGTTGAAGAGTAGATCTATTTGGAGCTAAATCTAGCCGAGTCAGCTCCCCTTGTGGAATTTGCACGTTTATATTCCCCTTCTCTTCCTCCGTCCGTGGCCCAGTGAAGCCCCTCGTTCCCACAGAGCTCGGTGGTTTTGAAGAGACGCTATTATAATTAAGCAGTAGTAGGAATATTAGCATTGCAGCTGCCTTTCGTGGCCGGTTCTTCCTGTACGTCTTAATGCCTGGAGCGCCAATAACCAAAAATGTCTTTTGCAGCCTTCCTTTTCTTCTCCCCCCCCCCCCAAAAAAAAACCCTCCAGATTGTAGACATTCTCAAGATCTCATCCAGTTTGGTCCTGTCATAATGCAGAACCGCCATCCGTCACCCAAACTATGCGCCTTATTCTCTTGAGCTATGCACGTGTGTGTGTGTGTGTATACCTCCTGTCGTTGATGTTATCTGGCTGAGAACCAGTAGTTGTTCATGGGAGTTGAAGGGATCCCTGGGAGAACGGGGATCCAGTGAGACTGGACCTGCTTGACTCAAAAAGGGATCTTGTAGAGTTGCAGAAGTGGCCAAACCCTGAATGTTGAGTTTGGGGCCTTGAAATTCAAGCAATGGGACCAAACCCAGGGTAGTTGATTCTCTAGAACAGGGGTCCCGGTGGGCTTCCAACTCTCATGCTGGCTGGGGGATCCTGCAGTTGAAGTCCCACCCGTCTTAACAGTTGCCGAGTTTGAAGACCTCTGCTCTAGGACGAAGCGGTGCCCGTCTTCTCCCCTCAGAATAGCCCGAAATTGCAACCATCAAAAAAGGGGTGTCATTACTCAACAACGAAGCTCCCCTCCTTCGTACTAACCCGGTATTATTAACCGGAAGACCCTGTTTCTGTAGCGTGGGAATTAGGCTTACGGTATTGGCGGCCTGTCCTGGGCTTCTGCCTGGTTCCAGAATTCTCCCGAGAGAGAGAGAGAGAGAGAGAGATGCTCATCCTGAACGCTTCCGTCTCCTGAAAAAGTCTCCTCCCTCAGAAGGGCCTTTGAGGTGGCTGGATGGTCAAAACCTGGATCCATTTTGGCTCCGGTCTGGATCCTGGCTTATTCCAGAGTTTCATTTTGCCTGGGTGAAAGAGCCGGATGGGAAGGGAGGCTCCTCTCTTCTTGTGTTTCTCCTATGGAAATCCTCCCCTTTTCATCCTTTTCCCCTGAAAGGTGGGCGGGGGGTTGTTGGTAGAAAATGCCAGTAGGTGGCAGTAATGCCTTGTCCTGGCCATCCCCAGTGTAGTTGGGGAGAGGCTCTTCGACACACACCCCCCCTCTCAACGGCCACGGGGAGCCTGTCAAACTATTGCTCCACTGACACCCCACCCCCACCCCAGGGCTGCTGCATGCAGGGTTAGGGTTAGGGTTAGGTCCAGTAGCCAGATTTGGTGGGCTGAATTGGTTGCCACGTTGCCTCTGCCCATGAGGGGGCCCCAACCCCTCCCTCCCGTAGGGGCCTCCTTACCAATTCCCGCTTTTTTATTTTATTTTGATCAGTCTTAAGCGCACATCCCCCCCCCCCATCCCTTTCCTCCCACCCTGAGCCCTCCTCCTTCGTCCAGGTCAGCTCAGAGGCAGTGACGCATTGCAGAAAGTTTGCCTGGCACCGAGGCCTCCCCCCCCCATGCCTCTCCTTCCTCCAGCTGCTCTCTCTGAAGCCGTCCTCCTTCAGGGAGGCTGGCAGCTAGCTGGCCTGGGCAGCCCAGAATTTGCAGTCCGTGGGAGCCACCAGTCAACTATATAATAAGCATGTCTCCAGTTTCTGTTTTCTCAGTGACTGCAAGCGTTATCTTGTCTGATGTTCACAAACAAGTGTTTGAGAATCCATGTGGGTGTGTGGTTGTTATATTTTGACTTTTAAAAAGAAAAATCCCCAATACAATGGACTGTGATTAAACCTGTCGCTTTGCGTGTCTCTGTTCTTCTTTGTCGCTGAGCATGCTGGCAAAAATAGACTTTTACGAAGGACACCCTTGTCCGCATCGGTTCTGTCTGAATTCCCTGCAGGGCTGGGCAGGCAGAGAGATATTCCCTATGCACAGGTGGCCCTTGACTTGTTTTAGTGACCATTCAAAGTGACGACGACACTAAAAATAATGACTTATGGCTGCTCTTCACACGAAGCATCCACAGGATCACGGGATCAAAATCTGGGTGTTTGGCAGCTGGCTCATATTTATGACGGGGCTCCATGACCCCCTTTTGCGACCTTCCGGCAAGCAAAGTTAATGAGGAAGCCAGATTCACTTAACAACCGTGTTGCCAACTGAAGAGCTGCAAGCGATTCACTTAACAACAGTGGCAATAGAGGTTATCCAACGGGGGCAAGACTCACTTAACAACTCTCTCATGTTAGCAACAGAGATTTGGGGCTCAGTTGTGGTCCTGAGTGAAGGGCTGCCTGCATTACTTTCATCTGGACTCATCTGGGCCCCTGCAGAAGCAAATGTTGCCTCTGTCTTTGAACTCTTGGCGGCAGCAGCAGCGACTTCATGCTCTGCTTCATTGGTAACTCTGAAGTGGGGGGGGGCTTACACCCCCCCCAGTGTACAGTGAAGGCATTAAAGCAGCCCAGCAAATGGAACATTTCTCCCATCATGCTACGCCAAGAAGCAGCATCGTAAATCAGTGTAACCAGTATTTAGTTTTACTTTAGTTTATTGTCGTTGCACCTCGTACCACGAAATTAAATGCCGGCATACGTAAGAAGACTGTAAAAATAAAAGAAAAAAAAACGTCCTTCACATTCTCCGCAATTGAATTGAAAAGACCCCCACACTATTAACATTACACTCTCCAGTAGAATTCAAGATAGCGGCTGCCCTGGGAGAGGAGCTCTTTCTCAGTCTAGCCGTCCTTGCTTTTATCATCCTCTACCGGCTGCCGGGGGGGGTTAAAGAAAAGGTGCCCAGGATGAGATGGATCTTTAAGGGTGTTTCGAACCCTCTGAAGGCAGCGGGAGCTCTAAAGCTCTTCCAAAGAGAGGAGGGGGCAACCTGTGACCCTCTGGGCAATGACATTGGCCCCTCCTGGAGCGCTGTCCTGCCTACCACAATCGTCAAACCGTACACAGTTTATGCAGTAAGTTAAAATACTCTCCGTGGTGCAGCAGCAGTAGAAGGCCACCACCAGCAGCCTTTCATTCAGTGGTTGTTTCTCGAGAAGCCTCAGGTCGTATCGTCTCTGCTGGGCCCTTTTGACCAGGGCTGCTGCAATGGGAGTGGGCCCAGGTCAGCTCCTCCCTTCGGAGAATACCCACGGCCGAGTCTCAAGACGCAGCCATGCCTGGGGAAGGGGGGGGGGTGGAAACTGGGTCATAAGTCCCATTTTGGAGGTCTGCTGCACCTCTGAATGGTCACTAAGCCACTGGTCATAAGTCCAGGACTACCTATAGCTTACCTGCAAATTTTCCCCCTGCTGATCCTACCGCCTGTTGCTTCCAAAGCCCACCAGGGGGCGGCAGCCACCCACTTTTGCACAAATGCACCTTAACACAGATGGAGTTGCATTTGTGAAGTTGGTTCATGCCAAGCTCTTAAATTCGTCTGCCCCGTTTTTCCCCCCTGTGTCAGTGGCCTCCTCCTCCTCCTCCTTTAAATCCCAAGCAAGCGTCAGGACTCTACTTCCTGGGTAGCAGTCTTTAATACCTGGGAGAAGACCTTCAAGACTAGGGACCACGTGGTAGCAGCCTCCCCATGTCTGCATATGGAGGTGAGAGCAGCTGTGAACATGCAGCCGAAGGCCTTTTAGGTAGGCCCGCTGTGTGGCATTCCTCAAAGAGAAGGTGGACGTCTTGACTTTGTTGACCCTCCTTGAATGAGCTCCTAGGAGTTCCCGAACAGCTCCAGCGGTGCTGCTCTGGGATAGGGTGGACAGATGGAAGAGAAAACGAAACGCCAAGCATCTCCTGGACAGCTCACGAAGGCAAGAATCACAACATTGCACCTCACTTCTTTTGGAGAAAGCAACCGTGCTTGGGAGAGGGAAGAGGAAGCCAGGCTGCCAAAGAACACGGCGGCTGGGTGTCCTCAAAGCAGACGCCGGCCACAGCAGATAACGACTCCTAGCAGCAGGGCAAGATTGGAAGACGCAGGGGGACCTGGCCCAGATGGTCACCAAGGGTTAGACATGGCTGAGTGGGTCACATTATCATCTAGTCTAGGGAAGAGAAGGACCAGGGGAGACAGGAGAGCATCAGCTGACTGCTAGTTCTGCAGTTCGGCTGTTCAAATCTCATCGGCTCAAGGTTGACTCAGCCTTCCATCCTTCCGAGGTGGGTAAAATGAGGACCCGGATTGTTGGGGGCAATAATGCTGACTCTGTAAACCGCTTAGAGAGGGCTGAAAGCCCTAGGAAGCGGTATATAAGTCTAACTGCTATTGCTATTGCTATCGTCCAATATTTGAGGGGCTGCCACAGAGAGGAGTTGGGGGTAAAGCTATTCTCCGAAGCCCCTGAAGGCCAGAGAAGGAATAATGGATGGAAACTGATCAAGGAGCGATTCAATCTGGAAATGAGGAGGAATTTTCTGACAGAACAATCATCCCACGGAAGAGAAGTTGCCTTCGGAGGTTGTGGGAGCTTCATCCCTGGAGGCTTTCAAGAAGAGACTGGGCTGCCATCTGTCAGAAATGCTGTAGGGTCTCCTGCTTGGATGGGGAGGGGGTTGGACTAGATGGCCTGCAAGGTCCCTTCCAACTCTCTTAATCTCTTCTGTATCAACATTATCTTCATTGATCTAATGCGGGGGTCCTCACACTTCTTAATCGGGAGGCCGTTTCACGGGGGGGGGGGGGGGGGGGGTGGACCAGCTGAGTGGGCATGTGACTAGGTGGACGTGGCCAATTTAGCAGCCCAAACAATGCACACAAATTAATTTGCTGTGTGTGTGTGGAAAGCAGGTTAGTGGAGGGATGTGGCTGCCTTGGGGTGTGTATGAGGGACTTGTGTGTGTGTGTGTGTGTGTGTGTGTGTGTGTGTGTAGGCTGGGAAGGTGGGTGGGGGCCAGTGGGTGAGTGGGGCAATGTGGGCGGGGCAGCCTCCTCGTCCCAGGCGGGCCGGATTAATGGCTTTGGTGGGCCGTAGTCTGAGGACGAATGCTTTCTAAGCATGAAAGCAATCAACTGGGGGAAGGGCTGCCCTTCAGAACCCGAAATCTGATTTAAAGCAAAAGAACAAATCCCCACTAAATTGGAAGGGCTCCTTGTGCCAAACTGAAATGTGACTTGTCAAAACAATCATGTGTTGTGTCGCCTGATCTAATGCACAGACATAGACGTACATATACGGCCTGATATGTTACATGTAGTCCGTGGCTTCAGTGGGGACCATTCAAAGTGACGACGGTGCTGGAAAAAAGTGAATTGTGAGCATTTTTCACACTCAGGATGGTTGTAGCCTCCCCATAGTCTCGGGATCCAAATCCAGGCACTTGTCCAAGGCCTCGTATTTATGACGGTCGCAGCCTCCTGGGGTCACGTGATTCCCATCTGCAACGTTTCCGACAAGCCAAGTAAATGGGGAAGCCAGACTCACTTAACAATCGTGTCACTAACCTTAACAACGTGAGTGATTCGCTTAACAACAGTGGCAAGTAAGGACGTAAACTGGAACAAAACTCATTTAACAGCTGTTTTGCTTAGCAACAGAAATTTTGGGCTCAATTGTGGTCGTAAGTGGAGGACTATGTGTACAATGGCAATAAATAGCAATAGGACTTAGACTTCTATACCGCTTCACAATTCTTTCCAGCCCTCTCTGAGCGGTTTGCAGAGTCAGCCTCTTGCCCCCAGCAATCTGGGTCCTCATTTGACCCACCCCGGAAGGACTTTGAGCCTGGCGAGATTTGAACTGCCAGATTGGAGGCAGTCAGCAGAAGGAGTCCCGCATTCCAACCATGTGCCAGCATGCGCTCTAAACAATGGTGTCAGGCCTGCAGTCATATTCCTTTTAGGATCTTTGGCCTGCCACAATTTCTATTATTTTTTCTATGCTGTTTCATTAGTGGGGTAATTGGGAGGCGGGAAAGTGAGGAGTAGAATGTGGTGGTGTCAAAATAAAACATTCCTTTTGTTAGGAATATAATCTAACGGTTGGGTTGGCAATATATAAATCATGTAACAATGCAGAGAGCCGAGGTGGCGCAGTGGCTAAATGCAGCACTGCAGGCTACTTCAGCTGACTGCAGTTTGGCTGTTCAAATCTCACGGGCTCAGGGTTGACTCAGCCTTCCATCCTTCCGAGGTGGGTGAAATGAGGACCCGGATTGTTGTTGGGGGCAATATGCTGACTCTGTAAAAACCACTTAGAGAGGGCCGGAAGCCCTATGAAGCGGTATAAAAGTCTAACTGCTATTGCTATACCTGTTTCTTTAAATCATACTGTAAAATATGATTGGTTGCTGTTTCCTCAATCGGCCATAAGACGATTGAGAGCCAGAACGACTGTTAGCTCTCTCTGTTTGCTAGATGCTGGGCTGATCTGATCTGAGTGTTTTGGAAGCTGGCTGTTAGAAAGTGCCGTGAGCTATTGTAAGTTTTGCAACTGTTAGCACACTTTGTGTACCGGACTGATTATATGGTTACTGGACTATGTTATTTGGATTATCCCTTAACTGAAAGGCGTTGATGACTGACTGTCTTATCCGTGTACGACTTGGACTGTTTGATGGACTCTGATACCTCTATTTCCACGAAAGTAAAAGCCTATTGAAACTGCAG